CAGAGGGCTAATGGTGGGTGGGGGTGAGGGCGATGGAGAGAGCTTAGCCAGGGTCTATGCCAAAGGGAAGGCAGAGAGGAAAAGGATGGGCAGAAGAAAAGGAACGGTGGAGCTGGAGATCCTGCACAGGGCAGTTGTAGCAGGAGCCTGGACTTGGAGATGCAGGGACTGCCAGGAGCAGATTCACCCTCCTGATCTCCTCGCCATCACCCAGTTATCTTCATCTCGGCCCGGCACTTAGGTCTAGTCGCACCGAAATGTCCCAGTCCATCATAGGACAGGTGGATCAATGACCACAGAATCACCAGGAAACCTGCTGAGACGCAGGTCTCTGCCAACCCGCCAACCCGCGGGAATCCCCACCTCCTGCCTGCTGGATTTTCTCAGCACCCTTCTTTTTCTCCCAGTCACCTCATTCCCAGGTTGCTTGGCGGGCGCTTGAGCAGCGTCCAACCTCTGTGGGTTTTGCTCAAGCCCATACTTGCTTTAGGAATGTGCCTGGCTCCACGTGGACTCACATCTCCAAACCAGAGGGATTTGAACGGCCGGGTTTTGGGAGCTGTGGGCAGAACTTGCCGTTCATTTTAAGGCAGAATGTACTCGCTGAACGCTTTATGGCTGCCCATGGGGGATGGCTGAGAGATGTGACAGGTCCAAGCAGAGCAGTGATGGGAGTGGGGGGTACCAGGCACAGCTCCCTGGCTCCAGCCCCAGCATCACAGGCATGTCCGGGGTGGTGTGGCCACCACGACCATGGTACTGCAGAGCCAACACCGGTGTCACTCCGAATTGCAGTTCTTTAAAATGGGCATCGGCATCTGCTTGATTGAGATGCGCGGCTGCACCATCCGCGAAGCCAAGAACCGCAGCTTCGAGCTCGTCACCCCCTCCAAAATATTCAGGTATCCCGGGTATCCGGGTGGGACGAGGTGCAGGGAAGAGCAGCCGGGTGCCGGACCCAGGTGCTGGTTGCTCCAGGCCCCTGAGTTTTGATTGTGCCGGTGCTCGTAGCTTCGTGGCGGAGTCGGAGCGGGAGAAGCGGGAGTGGATGGAGGCCCTGCAGGAGGCCATCGCCGAGATGCTCTACGACTACGAGGTGGCGGAGAAGATCTGGTCCAACAAAGCCAACAAATACTGTGCGGACTGCTGGGCTCAGAGTCCCGACTGGGCATCCATCAACCTGTGCGTGGTCATCTGCAAGCAGTGTGCAGGCCAGTACATCACCCTGGGCGGGGGCACATGGGGGTCTGGGGTGGATGGGCTGAGCCTGCCTGGGCAGGCAGGGTGCTGGCTGGGGGGTGGGGTGGGTTCCCCTGGCAGGATGGAGGGGTTCTCACTCTCCTACTCCCCACAGGGCAGCACCGCAGCCTGGGCTCCAACATTTCCAAGGTGCAAAGCCTGAAGCTCGACACCAGCGTCTGGTCCAACGAAATCGTACAGGTAGAGGCACTCAGGGC